ATCATATCAAGTACACAAAGGGTTAAACTTGAATGAGAGTTGCTGTGTCCCATAGGCCTAAGGTAGTACTACAATTGGTACTAGGTTTTGGGTCGCAGGCTCCTACGGCCTAGAAGCTATTGAAAGAAATCTATTTACCCACTTTTCCCTTTTAGAATGATACTTTAAAATGCAATAAAGTGTTAAAAACCAGTAAAGTTCACTGTGTCCTGTGCATGTCAGGTATTTGCTGAATATGCACTCATTTTGGAGTTACTGGGTCCCATTGCATTGAAATTATTGCAAGCAATCAGTATTTTATTATTCTGACAGTAATTTGTTGACGGTCCCTAAGTCAGCGGTGCGCGAGCGCCTCCGAGGCTGTGAATTCATCTTGCCGTCTTTCGACCGCCTTATGCCGGCTAGCGTGAGTGATGCCCCACCGCTAAGTCTGGAGAGTGTGGATCTGAATATCCGTCGAATATCGAACCTAAAAGACTGCTGCCTGGGAGAAAGTGACAGAAGCAGTAAATGTGGTCGGGTCAGAGGGGAGGTCCCTGTCAGAAATTCAATATCAAACGGTTCGATATCAAACTAAATACGAAAAAACGTGTCTCGGCACACAGACGGGACAGATCTGCTACCGGGGGTGGACAGATCACTACCCAGGTAGCATCATATTATTGTTTTAACGTTGAAGTATAGTTAAATGCGTTGAATTATGGTTAATGTTAAATTATCAACGTTGAAACTGAATTGATTTTTGGTCAGATTTTCAATATTGAAAAATTGATGGTGGCAAAACCTTGATCCAATGTGAATTTGATCCTGAAGGTGAATTTGAGCACCTCGGGATTGGGGCTGAAAGGGACTTATCCAATGCTATGCAAATATACATCAGCACTATTGGTCTTCAGGACCTGGCAGACTTTTGACTGTTATTTTACGGTAGATTTATTTACAGTGTACGCGAACAGGCGGAAACCAGAGCAAAACGTGAGCAAGTTTTATATGGTTGTAGCATATCAAGTCTGTAAAGTAAAGTATAAAAGCCTATAAAGTAAATATTGGTAATCAAATTAATTTGTTTTGTCATTCAAAGTAGGTCTAATAAGATTTTTTTTTAATTTCACGTAACGCTGTCAAGTGAAATTTTATTTTAGAGACGTGCTGCATCAACAGGAAAAAACTGAGGAATTTAAAACATGCCTGTATATTCTTTAGGCTATTAAGCCCACTGATTCCTTTATTTTTAAGCCTATTTTTGTATGGAATGCCATTGCCAAACCTGTCCGTTGTTGCGTATAAGTTGCTTAAAAATTATATTTTATAAATATTTTCTGTTCTGACTGGCAATGTTACCATTGCTCATATTTTTTTATGACATAAGGCTTCGGTTTAAGGTGACATTTGTTAGGCATGCAGATTATTTGTCCCTCTTTTAAATTGGAGCGATTTCCCTTTGACTTATTAGTTAAAAGACATGGGATTAACAAGAATAGATTTTTAGAATATCAACA